CATGTCACTCAAATATGAACAGAACGGGGACGTGTCATTGACAATGACTTGTTAACTTTTGAACTGAAAATTGGCATTATGTGTGCATAATTGGCATTGTGTGCATAATGACAAGGATAATTTGGTATGAATTGTTTGCATCTATCGTGGTCAAGATTGTTTCTATTGTTGACGTTGAAATCATTTATACATTTAATATTTATACACATTTATACCCTAGCGATGATCGTTGCTATGCTAGTATGATGTCATACAGCATGTGATTTCTAGCAAGGTAAATACAATGTGGAATGGATGTTTGTATCGTAACGTCAATTCTGATGAGAAAGAACCAAAACATTGACAGTCTGTCTTAAATTTAATAAATCATTCTCCTACATTGTGGGGCAAGTGAACTTTATATAAAATTCTATTTATGGTGACGAGTAGTTAAAAAAAGCTCCCGTGGATTTTATCATATTCTGTTTGGCAGTTCATGATTGAGTTCTCTAATTACATTGTCAGTGAAGCAATAAAATGTATTTCTACTTCTCGTCTCCTGAAAAATGAAAAAAATCTTGCATAACACTTGATAGTCCGACTGTTTAACTTGTTGAATATTAAAAAGTACATGCATACATGTATATCGACTCATTCATTGGAATCTAGAGATCTGCTGATATAAAACATTTCACGTTATTTGAGTCTTGTCAACCCTGTCAGTGCGTAGCTGTCACAGTCTACTAAAGAGCAGTGTCAGTCAGTGATTGATTTGTGAAAAGTGACTAGATCATAGGGTCAGTTGTTCACCGTGTACTTACATCTAGTTTGTATTCAGCATCATGCTGAGATCTATATGTATGTAGGAATTGTGGTTGTCATTGAACATTGATTGTCTTGAAGGAAGAAAAAACATTGATATATTGCCATGGTGATAGAACATGAGAATTAAATTAAAATCTTGCTCATGAAACACATCCTGGGCTTATTAAATTGTATTACAAATAAAAAGTGTAATAAACCAGTGAAATTGTTAAAACTTGTACTCTAGCTATCTTCAGTACTAGTATTCACTCTGATGTAAGTGCGCATAAACCAAAACTAAATTGTGTTTTTTGTATGCTGTATTCTTAACAATAAGACTTATTATTATACATCTGTTACTGTAACGCCATAAGTTATAGCGTGCTGAATGTTGCGGTATTGCACTGGGTATTTTCATCCTACCATATTAGGAAACGCAAATTTCTAAATATGGAATGATTACGCATGTGCGTCCTCTAATAATAAAAAACAAAAATGGCTGGCCCCCAGGGTTTGACCAGACACCAATCAAAGAAGTTCGCTCAATCTGTTCCAAATGTTTTGGATTTCGGCATTCCCATGATGTATTCAGACTGTACGTCGATTGATTCTTCCGCTGTACTGTCTTTGTGCATACTTTGCAGTATCCTCGTAATAGCCTCATAATATAATCTTAATGATACAAATCTGTCATTTACGAAAGTGCATGTACTATTAATAGAGCAAATATGATACCAATTCAAGATATATATATATATATATATATATAAATATGCTGACAACAATCGAGAACCAATAATAAATCGAGAAGTGATTGTTTTGCATGTATGTAGTGTCATCTAAGTGCTTTTGGGAATCCAAGACTTTCATTTTTATTTTAAGGCAACAATCACATGAGACTGCAAAGCATCATGGGAACCGTCTTCTATTTATAGCTTTTGAACAGAGTCATTAGGGAATGGACAAGATGAATAGACTCCTGTAGTGTCTCAGCTATTTTTAGTTATCAGAATACAAATAATCGTAGTTAGTATTATGGGTAATTGGGTATCACAGTTTTTATTCAATATTAGGGAACAACAATTCTGGAAGTTCTGACTCTATTTAATGATTAGGTGGTCATGAGTAAGAAAATAATAATCTTAATGTATGCATTAATGTGCTGGAGGAGGTGAAAAAAAACTCAGGTAACCATGGAAACAGCACGAGTATTTAAATTTCCAATTATTGATATATCGATGACCTTTCAACATTTCCATAAGGGTTTTAACAGGGACTTAACTGTGATCTCATTATCTGGTATTTCCGTTTGTTATTAAAATGAAAACATGTCGAGTAATGTCAGAGTTATTTTTTAAGTCACTTCATTGACCAGTTTCCTTTCTATGTGGTGCTGTATGAATATATGTGGCCCTATCTGGCTATAATTGACTGCATTGAAGGCTTAGATTAGGAAATGTTTTTTTTCTATTATTAATTTTTTCAAAAATGACAACTGGACAGGAAGTATGTAATAAAATTGGCAAATATTGTGTGCCATATGTTTGTGTGTCATCTGGTGAGGATTTGAAAATGAAAGGAAATTGTTGAATTGTTGGAGTTATATTTCACCCAACTCAGACATACCGACGATTAATGAAACTTAAAACTCTATATTTGTTTTATTTAGTAGATTTATTGCTTCGTCTGTTACCGAGTATAATATGGTTCTTAAGATGAAACCAACATCTGTTACAATTATTGGTTTGTTTGCTTGCAAATATTATCTCCTCAAATCTGATTTTTTTTTTATAAAAATAAAAATATTATGATAAAAAGTTTTTTGGCTTGAATATCAGGTAACTGCATTCTTTTATTGTTGAAATAGTAAACATAAGTTATTACAAAATATTATAAAAACATATTTTTTTGGGGGGATTCATGAAGTCAAAACATCCAATGCCATGAGATATTTGTAAAGATTCATAGAAGATACTTAATCATATACTGTAAAACATGTCTTTTTAGACATCCACAATTTCGCTAAATAAAGATGTCGCTAATTAGAATAAAATTATTGGTACTTTAGCTAAATTAAAATT